GGAGGGGGCAGCCTGGGGGGCGGCGGGGCCGGGGCTGCCTGCTGTGGGGCTGTGTGCACGTGTGTGCATGTGAGCGTGCGTGTGTGAGTGTACATGTATGTGCATGCACAGACGTGCGTGTCTGTCCGTGTCTGTGTGCCTCCCCCGGCATGCCCGAGGATGTGCCTGTGTGTCCCTGTGCGTGCACAGAGGGGTGTGTGCCTGCTGGGGTGGGCGTGCATGAGCGTGTCTGTGTCCTTGAGGGGGATTCATGAGTGCATACGTGTGTGTGTGTGTGAACATGTGTGTGTGTGTCCGTGCATGCACGTGGATCATGAACATGCACAGATGTGTGGGTGTGCACACGGGAGTGTGCATGGAGATGTGTGTCCCTACGTGCACGCATGCATGGATGTTTGTGTGCACGTATATGCACAATCGTGCATGTACCCGTGTGCATGGATGTGTCAGCTATGCATGGAGCGAGGTCCCATCCTGCCCTGAACCCTCTGTGTCTATCAGGTCTGCGTCTCCCTGGCCCCCACCCCGAGCCACTCAAAGGTGTGGGTGCCATGGCCCGAGGGGAGCTGTGAGCCCCCTCGCAGCTGGTGCTGCTGGAGGGGCTGGGAGACATGGGCAAGGCTGCGCTGGGAGGATGTCACAGCATCCCCTACATCCCAAGCTGATGTAGCTCCTGATCCAGCCTGGAGATCTTCTAGCAAAAAGGGATCTCAGCCACTCTTGGAAAGCTCATGTCAGTGATTTTCTGGTGCCAGGGGAGCTGCTGGTGCAGCCTGGTAGAGGATGTTCACTCTGCAGGCTCTGTGGAACAGCTCCTTTCTCCCTCCCATCTCCAGCCTCACAGTCTCTCCAGTTCTTGCATTGGGCCAGGGAGTGGCTTTGGGTTTTCTCAAGGTAAAGGGTGCACAGGGCAGCCAGAGCTGCTGCTCTTTGGTCATGACTCCATTGTGCCTGCTGCCGGGGACATGCATGGTGCTGCCTTGCCTCTCTCCCTGCAGCGCCAGTGCCAAAAATCCCGGTGAGATACTTCCCAGGACTTCCCATGCCTTTGAGATGTCCCTGTGCCTTATTTGCTTGTGATTTGAGTCTCACTGTCCCCTTGGTCCTCGCTTCTCCATCCCCTGGTGCTAACAGCTCTCCTTCCTCTCTGCCGGCCACAGGTGACCAGGATGCTGCACCATGGGAAGCACTGGAGGTCCATGTGCAAGGGGCTCATCCTGGGGACCCTCCTGACCAGCTTCATGCTGCTGCTCTACTCCTACGCCATCCCCCCACTGCAAGTCAGCGTGACAGAGTGAGTGTGGGGTCCCCACAGATCCCCCCTGGTAGCTTGGCCATCCTGTTTTGCAATGGGCATCCCCAACCAGAGGTGGTCCTGGGACTTTCCAGGCTCTGGTGACTTCACACCAAGAAGTCCCCTTCCTACAGCCTCCTGTTGGAGACTGCACCCTGTTCCATGGTGGGGGGAAAGGTGAACCTTAACTCCCTGGGGAGCTGGGGATGCTCACCCCGGGGGAGATCTGCTGCAAAATAGCAGCCAGCACTCAGTTCTTGGGTGATAGAGGGGACAAGGAGGTGCAGGAGACCCCCTGCTCACCACAGCTTCATATCCTCTGGGAGAAGGAAAAACATCACGGGAGACATTCCCCAGCAGCCAGGAGCAGCAGGCTGAGCAGAGATGGTTATTCAGGCGCTCTTTATCAAAGGCTTGTCCTTCAAGAGCAACCAGAGAGCTGCCAAATGTAAACTCTCACCCACAGAGATGGGCACAGGTAGATTCAAAGCTCTCTGCTGCCCATCCTGGTGAAAGCTGGCACTCAGCAAGGCTCAGATCCTGGCCATCTCTCCTGGCATTAAATTTATCTCTAAGCTTATAAACAAGGTTTGCCTGTGGGTGTTTCATAAACTACGTCATGACCCGTGCTGCCAGATGGGATCGTTATCAAGGATCAGCTTCGCAACTTCATTAACAGTGTCCAAAGTCACTGGGCACTGTGGTCTCTGTTCCCTGCTCCGGGCATCTCAGATAACACACAAGTTGTTCTTCGTGCTCCCTGAGGGCCTGTGAGCTTGTCTGTGGAGCCATGAACTAGAATTATTTCCCTCTTTGTTCTGGTGCTGGATCCTCCATGACTCCTACAAGGGGCTAAGAGCTTCCAGACCTCACAAGCACATTATGAGCTCCTGCCCATGGAGTTACGGCCATGGGGAGCTTGTCTTGATGCACCTCTCAACATCACCTGCACCAGAGTCACTGCACCTGTGCCTGTGGGGAGGAATGGGACCCCCTGCTCAGGTTGAGCTGATGATGGTAGGGGCTGACCACTGCAAAGACCCCCGTAGCAGCACATCCTTGGTGGCTGGGGTTGTCCAGAGGTGAACAAGCTTTGTTTGGTGGCTCAGAGGTTCGTCTGATGTCAGGGGGCTTGTGGGGGTGGTGGGCTCTGCCCTGCTCACCGAGGAGCTCCTGTCAGGTACGTGCCCTGGTCCCACTGAGCACATGACTGGGTGTGAAGGGAGCTCTGCCCAAAGCCGGGCTTACCTTTGCCAGGGAGCTGGGGGGCAAGAACTCATCCCCAGGTCCAGCACCCAGCCCCAGGGTAGGCACCCATCAGATCCAACTCCTCCAGGAAGGAAAACAGACTGGTGGCTGGGCTGCATTGGCCAAGCCGCCCTCACCATGGTGTCTTGTCTCTTCTCCCCACCAGGATCCCCGTCCCCTCCTCCTGCTCCTCCTACCCAGCCCCCGGGAAGGCACCAGTAATAGCCAACAGCACGGGCAACCCCTCGGGATGGAGCTGCCTGCCCAAGCTGAATGTCATGTTCATGAAGACACACAAGACAGCCAGCAGCACCATCCTCAACATCCTCTTCCGCTTCGGGGAGAAGCACCGTTTGAAATTCGCCTTCCCCAACGGCCGCAATGACTTCTATTACCCCTCCTACTTTGAGAGCAGCCAGGTGCAGCACTACCGGCCGGGCGCGTGCTTCAACATCATCTGCAACCACATGCGCTTCCACTACGAGGAGGTGCGCAAGCTCCTGCCAGCGGACGCCATCTTTGTGACGGTGCTGCGGGACCCTGCCTACCTCTTCGAGTCCTCTTTCCACTACTTTGGGCGCGTCATCCCCCTTACCTGGAAGCTGACAGGGGACGACAAGCTGGCAGAGTTCCTCCGGGACCCTTGGCACTACTATGACACCAATGGGTTCAATGCTCACTACCTCCAAAACCTCCTCTTCTTTGACTTGGGCTACGACAACAACATGGACGCCAACAGCCCACTGGTGGAGGAGCATATACAGGAGATAGATCGCCGTTTCCACCTCGTCATGTTGCTTGAATACTTTGACGAGTCCCTGGTGCTGCTGAAGGACCTGCTGTGCTGGCAGCTGGAGGATGTCCTCTATTTCAAGCTCAATGCCCGGAAAGGCTCCACTGTCTCCCGGCTGACACCTGAGCTCTATGAGAAAGCCACTTCCTGGAACCTCATCGATGCCAAGCTCTACCGCTATTTTAATGCCACCTTCTGGCGTAAGGTGGAGGCCTACGGGAGGGAGCGGATGGCCAAGGACGTGGCTGAGCTGCAGCGGGAGAATGAGAAGATGAAGAGCATCTGCATCGACGGGGGACACCCTGTGGATGCCAGTGCCATCCAAGAGTCCTCCATGCAACCCTGGCAGCCGCTGGGGGAGAAGTCCATCCTGGGCTACAACTTGAAGAAGAAGATCAACAAGAAGCACCAGAAACTGTGCCGCAAAATGCTGACACCTGAAATCCAGTACCTGACTGACCTGGGGGTCAACCTCTGGATCACCAAGCTATGGAGCCACGTGCGGGACTTCCTGAAGTGGTAGGGGACGGCGGGTGCCCCGCTCTCCCCGGGGAAGAACCAGGTGCTTTTCTTTTTCTTACTCATGGTGTGTTTCAGTTGGACATGAGCAGAACTGGCTTGAGGCTCCAGCACCCAGGAATGGTCAGGGGGCGCCTCCATCACCTTCCTGTAGAGCCCCAGCTTGGGCAGAAGCCTGGGGGGAGGGGCTGCCATCACCCACTGGCAAGGAGAGTGGAGCCTCTGCCTCCACCACAGCCTCCAAGGAGTCAAGGCCTGGGGGCTTGGGGATGTTTTTTTCCAGCAGGATCCACTCCTTCCTTCCCCGTGGAAAGGCTGGGGAAGGTATTTGTGAAGGACATCCCCTCATCACATCGGGAGCAGGACACCCACCCCCACATCACTGGAGGCAAGGGCTCCTCCTGGCCCGGGGTGGGCAGAACTGCCAGCACGGAACCCAAACCTCGAGGGGCTCATCTAATCACCCCGTTTCCCTTGAGCCCTGGTTTGGGGGCTGCCTGTCAGAGCCTGCTGCACCACTCCAGTGGGTTCCAGCCCATGCATGTGATGAGCGCAGCACATTCTCAGCCCACCCACAGCTGTCAGCCCATGGCAGGCTGTGATCCAGGGCCACCTGAAGCCATTTGTAGAATGGAAAACCCACCCCAGAAGCCCCAGCATTTATCAACGGGCTCGTGGTTCCCTCAGGTGAAGGGCATATGTGCAGCAGGTTCCCTTCCAGCCCCCCGTCGTCCCGGTTAGAGGGTCCCGTGGCCCCGGTCCCTACAGGGAACATCCCAGAAGGCCCACGGGGTCTGGTGAGAACTGGCGTGGGGAGAAGGTGGGAAGCAGCATCCAGCAGCCACTGTCCCAGTGATGCCATCCCCCAGGCACGGGGGGGGGAAGGCCGAGGACAAGGTCTGTCCCTCCCCCATGGTGGGGACAGCCCTTGGGTGTCCCGGCCGGGCTGGATGACACTGGCAAAGCCACGTCCTGCCGAGAGCGGCCCTGGCTGGCCATGGAGGTGGCACTCGTGGCTGAGCCCCCCTGGCAGCGAAAGGACCCCCACCAGCCCCCCAGCTCATGTTCTGCTCCCTTTGTAAAGACCAGAAATAAAAAAGTAATTCTACTTTTGTAAGATAATTGTATATTTGTCAGTTTTTAATATAAGGATGGTCCAGCTGGTCTCCATATGTTTCCTTCTTCTTCAGGGGGTGGGGACCTCCCAGCACGGGGCCGTGGCCGCACCAGATTGCTCCACTGGTGCCTGCTCCTCCCGGGGCCCGAATCCTGCTCTGCCCAGGGCCATGTCCCGGCAGCCCCCTGGGGTCCCAGCTCTGCTCTCCCCATCAGTCCTGGGGGTGGGAGCCTCGTGTCCCCAGCACAAGCGGAGCACTTGGATCTGTCCCCACTGTCCCTGCAGAGCCACCTGCGCTGCCACATGCTGGCGTGGGATGGCCGTGGTGTGCAGGTGCCACCAGGAAGATCTGATGGTTTTGCAGGGACACCGGACCCATGGGACAGCCTCCAGAAGTGACACAACTCACGTGTGCTACTGGGTCCCAGCTCCACTGCTGACGGGTGCACCCCGTTTTCAGGAGTGTCCCCAGGACTTGTACTGAGGCTTCTCCAGCCGAAGCACTCAGCACCAGCAGTACTGGGGTGGTCCAGAATGGCCAGTCTGGAGCCACCACTGGGGCCACCAACTCAACTGCATGTGACACCGCCCAGGGACACTGGGACAGGTGCTGCGGACACAGAGCTTGGGGCACCTCCTGAGGTCCACGAGTGTCTCCCATCACATGCTGAGGTCTCCTGCTGGGAGCAGGTGCCAAATCCCACTTTGGCCACCAGTTGCCTCTGCAGATGGGGGGTGGAAAAGCCCCTTCCGAGGCAGGGTGTTGGCTGCACAGTCCACCTGGGATGATGTCCCCGTGGGGCACTGTGTCCCTCTGTGCCCAGGCCACCAGATCAACCCACACAGAGGGGCTGTGATGGGGTTTTCAGACCATCTCAGACAGGCAGGAGCCACAGACACATGCACTTCACCAGGTGTCTGTCCTGCCTGTGACCAAACTGCTGCCCCTCACCAGGCTGCCTGTGCCCCCAGTGCTGCCTGTCCTGGAGAGCAGACAGCAGCAACCCTGGGGTGGGGAGCAGCAGCTCTGCCCTTGGCTGGAGCCAAAGGGTGGAAGGGAAGTCCTCCTGCTAAAGTCCCCCATCCCAGAACCCAACAGCCTCTTCCTACAGGCTTTTGTTCTCAATAAACGGGACCAAGCTGGGACAATGGGTCCAGGACTGTGGGGCTGGGGTTGCAAGCAGGACCATAATGGGATGGGGGTGGTGAATTGGGGACCAGGATTGTGTGATGGGACTGGGATCGTGCATGGGACCATGACTGAGGTGGGATCAAAATTGTGGTGGGCCTGTGACCATGTGTAGGACCATGAGGTGGGACCATACTATGAGGTGGGACTAGGAGCATCCACGGGACCAAGACTGAGTGGTGGGAACCAAGCCATGTGATGCAACTGCGGCCAGGGCAAACCAGTTGGACCAGGACCACATGCAGGACCAAAACTGCATGGTGGGACGAGCACCAGCTGGTGGATATGGGACCATGCAGTGGGACCCCGACTTTGCTCAGGACCAGGACCACACACAGGACCAGACTGAATAGAGGGACTGCAACTGTCTGATGGAATGGGGACCGAGCAATGGATGCAGATCCTTGTGATGGAACTGGGATGGTGTTTAGGACCAGTCCCCCACCTGGAAATGCTGATTGACTGCAGAGAAAATCAAGCAAATCCCCAAAACCCAGCAGCACCAGCTGGGGCCTGTTGGCACCCAACCCTGGTTTTTAAAAGCCCCCAGATGCTGTAGCTGGGATTGCTGCTCCCTGAGGATGGGGCTGTGCTGGTGGGTGCTGATGTGTGAGGCTGTGCTGGGGATGGCAGGTGAGCAGGGCTGCTCCCCTCAATCCCCCCACTGGTTGTACTGGGGGAGGTGGGTGGTCCTATCTGGGTACTGGTCCCCTCCTGGATCTGCTGGTACAAGTCTCCTTAATGGAGAGACTTCCTAAAATGGCTCTGTGCTCTGGGGATGTGTGGTGGGACCAAGGGGGCTGGCCAGGAGCTCCTTGTGCCCGCTGGTCCCAGCAGGTCTGTATGGACCTGGTTTGGGTAGGGGGACTAGGGCCATGACGGGGTACATAGCTGCTGGTGATGGTCTCCCATCCCATGAGCAGCTCCCAGGTGTGCCTGGAGCTGGGGGCACTTAACCTTGCATTTTGGGGGGTTGTGGTGACCCTTGTGGAGCACCCCCTCCTCTAGCACCCACCACCACAGTGACTGCAATGGTCCCACCCCAAGACCAGGGATGGTTAGGGCCGGGGGAGCTGGGGATGGAGGAGCATCCCAATGTGCCCAAACCCAGCTGAGCTCCTGGGTGCTCTCCCCTGCTTTGTGCTGCTGCCACCTGCCCTTCATGAATCCCAGGGCCATCTGAGGACCTGGATGTCCCCACTGTGCCTGGGACATGCTGCTCTTAGCCCTACTGGCTAAACCCTCCCCTTGCTGCAGGGACCACCAGGGCTCCAGCTGCTTCGGAGTTGTCAGGTCACACAGTGGTGGCTCCAGTGGTGTCCTCAGGCATGGGGACAAGGGCTGTGGCCCCTGTGTTTGCTGCTGCCACCATGCCTGGTGGGGCTCATACTCACCCCAGCTCAGAGGAGCCCATCATGAATTTCACCTTGAGGCTCCTGGATGGTGAGTGCTCTGTGTTCTGTGTTGGGTACCACTCTGGGGAACGAGACTACAGGATGGGTCCAGCTGAGACCCCTGGGCACCTGGTGCTTTCTGTTGGCTGGCCTCAGCCCTAGGGCTCACCAGGACAAGGTGGCCACCTCTACTGGACCTCCCCTCCTAGCCTTGCAGAGGACGTAGGGCTTAGAATGGTGGTGCTTTGAGATGTTCCCAATTCCATACTTGATGCTGTGATTGGATTTCGGGGGTCAGCTGTCCATTCTGATGGGTTACATGGTTCTTCTTGGCTCTGTGGGGGGGACCAGGAAGGTGCTGTAGTTCTGGAGAGCAGGCAGGGAAGCCAGGATGAGGTGACAGAACCAGTGCAGCTCTTGGCTTCCAGGGACAGGGGGTGGGCTCTGAAATTAGGGAGCTATGGGCAGGCACCTGGCTTGCAGGGGTGGAGGTAAAGAGTGGTGGGACTGGCTTGGGATGTCACACTGAACCCACCCTCCCGCCTTCTTCAGGGGACCCCAGGGCCATGAAGCCACTGGTGCTCAGCCCCGGCTCTGCCATCCACCTGGAGGCCCGGGTCAACTTCAGTCCTGGTATCTCCCTGAAGATCTACGTGGACCAGTGCTATGGGACCAGCTTGGAGCGGCTGGGACACTCCAGGAGGGTCTTCATGGTGGTGAACAGCCATGGGTCAGTGTGTATGGTGTGAGAGGTGGGGAATGCTGCTCCAGGCACCCAGAGGTCCTTCAAGACCTCCTGATGGGGAGGGATGTCCAGGGCCTGGAGACAGCCCGGGAATGTCCCTGTATTGCTCTCCTGACTCAGGTGCCTGCATGGGCAGAAGCTGTGGAGTGTGTCTGTCCAGCATCAGAGAGGGGTGTCTGTCCTCCAGCTCACCATCCTGGCCCCCATGCTGGAGGATGAGCCTGAGGAGGAAGAGGTGAGCTTGGGGTGATGCCCTTAGTGATGGGACAGAGGTCCCATGGAAGATGACCTGCAGCTCCCAAAGCACCATCCTTCCCAGGGCATCCTGCTCCCTGCTGGGGTGGTCTCAACCCAATGGGGTTGGGTGGGAGAAGAGCAGGGTCCCTGAGGAAGGACATGGTGGTGGCATGTCCTGCCCGGGGCTGGTGTCTTGGCAGGTCTATGTGCGCTGCCTGTTGACGGCGTGGGGTCACGGTGCCAGGTCCTGCTTCTACAGCCAAGTCACAGCCAGGTAAGCTCAGCCCCAGCACAGGCTCCCTGCCAGCGAGTGCCCCAGGACATGAGCACCCATGGGTGCTTTGGGAGCAGAAGCCACTTATCGACAGGACCCATCTAGGGGACCAAGCCACCCCGCTGTGATCTGGATGCCACACTTCTGCTGTGGTAGCCAGGTGGTACCACCACAGGTCCTGGCTCCCTCCTGGTGCAGGTGAATTGTGCCCCAGGTAACACCATGCACCTCCCCGTCTCCTTTGGGGTGGCCAAGGTCTAGGCCAAGACCTGGAGGGACCTGCTGATATGGCACTGTGTGGGCCTTGTGGTAGAGCCCGGGGACCCCTTGAGCCCCCCCCAGCTCTGTCCTTTTCCCCCAGCTGGCAGAATGCAGAGGACCCTTCCCGGAGCGCCCTGTGCCGCTGCTGTGACACTGGTTGTTTGTCTGGTGACATCCTCCCAGGAGAGCTTTCAGGTACCAGGCCTGGGCTGTGGTGGTCCCATGTGGTTTTTGGGGTCTTGGGGGCAGTCCTAGGGTGAGGCAGACTGTATTTATGGGCCATGGCCTCCTGCAGGGCTCCCAGAAGGGACGTTCCACTGGGAGACGGTTGGACCGTTGCTAGTGCAGAAGGCACCATGGTATGAAGGTGAGTGCAGCCCCCCAACCATCTCCCCACGGCCCCAAACACACCAGCCCAGGTGCAGAAGCAACCTCCAAATCCCCTATTTTGTTGGATTTTTTTTTTCTTGTTGGTTCCAGCACCATGCCGCACAGTGAAGAGGTTCCTGCTAGCTGTGCTGGCCCTGGTGGGCAGTGCCCTGGTGGCAGCTGTGCTGGTGGGGACTCTGCTGGGGCTGGCCTTGGCCACCTGCCACCTGGGCAAACGCCGTCAGGGGCGGCGGCGGCAGCTGAGGCAGCACTGCCCCTTCCATGCTGAGCTGCAGAGTGTGGTGGGGGCCCTGGTCCCCAGGGAGACAGAGAAAGGGGGTGATGTGGGCCCAGACTACCGCAGCCTGGCACAGGGCTCGGCATGAGCTGGTGACCGCCCGCACCCTCCTCACCAATAAATGGTGGATTTTTTTTTCCTCTAAAGCTTCTCCTGGTGGTACTATGTGGATGCCACCAAGGGCTGCGACCATGTCCCCAGAGGCTGGGACCATAGCACCATGCCTGGAAGCCACATCTCCTGGTACCAGCCTGTGGTGCTGGAGCTGGTGGCTC